GCCTGTATGTATGTGGAACTGTATATAATAATATATTTTCTAAATAAATAAATAAATAATAATAAAAATACATTTTACGCGCTAGTACGCGCCAAAGTGCTAGTATAATAACAGATATACACAAAGTATATTATCCGAATTATCCGACAGATTAGGTTTTTTTCGTGCAATTCTAGTTTTTGCTGTAATCACTTTATCATTTGCGCTCAGTAATCCTGGTGCGCATTTGGAGACGCGCGCTTTACGCGCAAGGTTGATGCTTCAAAATTAGAAAAATCAATATTTTGTTGATCGAATTATAGATCAATATCGACATACATCCATTCTGGCGATCCGCTTGCACCTTTCTTCCAAGCAAGTCACATATTCCATGATCCACAAGCCCGAGAGCTCGTTTATGCTGCGTATCTCCTTGAAAGGCAAAAATGCGTTTTCTCACCTGCTTCCAGAAGTTAATTAAAGGTGACCTTCAGCCTTTATTCTAGGCACTATCATTTAGATGGCAATTCCTTGAAGAATAATGTTTCTGCGTCAGGTGTGTGGATATATATTCCTTTTGGGAAATCTTGTGCTCAAACATTTTAAGACCATCTTCGTGAATTCACACAAAGATCAGTGCAGCTCTGGACACCCAGATTTACGAATGAAATCCTTTCAAAGCGTAGCAGCGTTAGTTTGATGTCGGGAGGAAACACGGGGAAGATTTTATTCAACAAACCCAAACGACCAGGAGCGCCAAAGACACTTGAGTGTAATCGCTACTGTACACTCAATGTCCAAAACCTGGTGGAAAGCAACGCTTCTGCTTGTGGTTTGTTTGATACATTTGGCACTTTTCGACACACAAGTAAAGACTCAATGTAATGTTTGATACTTACTGTAGTCTAAACTGTATCTGAGTCTCTTCTGCTGAGGGAGTGTGAGTGTCTGCTCGGCTCGCTGCTTTTATGAAGGCTGTGAGGGGGGTTTCCTCAGCTCAGATAGCTCAGATATTTCTGATCGCAGTGTCACATTACTCTATCAGCAGCTCTTGCCATATTTGGCTTTTAAAGTCCTCGATGCTGTTTCACTGAGTGACATACAAAGAATGTGGAATTGAGTAATACTGAGTGTGCTGTGACAAATGTTGCTCTGTGCATGCTCTTTTCATAATTATGTTTCATAATTGCACACACACACACACACACACACACACACACACACACATATATATATATATATACAGTATATACACAGTGGTGGCCAAAATGATTAGAACACTAGTATTTTCAGCAGCTAAAAATGGTTTTAAGTCTTTCTATCTTTTGCTGTAGTAGGAAATATCAGTTTACATTTCCAAACATTCATTTTTCCATTAATTGTAATAAATTTGTGAGATTTTTGTCTGACGACAGCCTGTGCTCCACACAGAGATCTGATCTCATCATCATCTAGTCTGTCTGTGATTATATGTAGAAACAGAACAAACTGAGACAGACTCAATCCAGAAGAACTGTGGAGACGTCTCCAAGATGCTTCAAGAAACCCACCTGCAAAGCTCCCTGAGAAACTATGCGCAAGTGCACCGAGGGCAAAAGCTGCTTTAAGTGCAAAGGATGCTCACACCAAATGTTGATTTAATTTAGTTAATAGAAGTTAATTGATAAAGAAAATCTATTTAGGACATTATTTTTGACAGCATCCTCATTTTACAGCATTTTTACACAAGTGCCTAAAACTTTTGATAGTACTGTAGCTTTGCAGGAAGGTTTCTTGAAGCATCTTGGAGCATCTCAGTTTGTTCTGTTTCTTCATTACATTCCAGACAGACTGATGATGATCAGATCAGATCTCTGTGTGGAGCACTGGCTGCTGTCAGACAAAAATCTCACTGGATTATTACAATTAAACGTGGGGTAAGCGATTTCTGGTAGCCAATGTGATATTTCAAATCACCAAACAAACACGCCCCTACCCCAAAAGGGGAGTGGTGCGGCGTGACAAAATACTATAGAACTCATTATAATCAGTGATAATGTCTACACCATAGATATATACAGTATATACATATCTATGGTATACACTGGATGTGGCGCGGCATGACGTGTGTGTGTGTGTGTGTGTGTGTGTGTGTGTGTGTGTCCAGTGCGCACCTGTACAGCTATCTTTGTGTGGGCCAGTTTGAGTTTTAGACCAGCAGAGTGAAAACAATCCTGTAAAGTGAATTATGACCAGTCCTCACTTTCTGAGAGCCCTTTAAAGGTCTGTTTGAGAGTCAAGACTTGGTTTTAGAGGTCAGCTTATAATTGGGTAAAGGTTAGGTTTAGGGCAAGGGTTTGGGTGAAGCACTTAGCTCTGATGGGTAGGTTTAGGGTAAGGAGCTAGAGATTGCATTGTGTCAGTGAATGTCCTCGCAAAGATAAGCTATACAGAGGTGTGTGTGTGTGTGTGTGTGTGTGTGTGTGTGTGTGTGTATGTGTGTGGAGTAAAAATATGTTGCTATTGTCATTTGGTCCTGTTTCGAAGTGCTCGAAACTCTTCACGCTGCTGACGCCTGCTGGTCAAACCTGTATAAATGCTACAAAAACGTGCATTAAATCAGTTTTTACAAACCCAATGCAAATACTTTATTGAAATTATAATATATTAAATGCACTTAACAAATCATCAAATACCATTAAATGTGTGAAAATATGGAGTGTCTATAGTTCGTCACATTATAATTAGTCACATTGAATGGGGTAAGCTGGCACTTGTTTTTTAATCATTTATATAGCCTACTCTTACAGTTTTTGTTAATATTTTGAAAAAAATATATATGTACATTATATTTTCCAGTTTTTAAGTTTTTTAATTACTGTTTGTTTATATTTTTTATCTCTTGTAATTTGTTTGTTAAAGAATTTATTTTTTTTGTTAGTAATTTCAGTGTTTCATTTTAAACTTAAGTAATGTTGTTTTTTGTAGTTTTTATTCATTTTATGTAGTTTTTGTAAGTTTTTAGTTTTAGTTTATTTAATTTACTTAAACTAAAAATATTATATTTCATTTTAGTTTATTGTATTTCAAGTGATGATAATGTTTTTTTTATGGTTTTAGTTTTAGTTCACAATAATAACTCCGTTCGGAACTTGCAGTTGATTTTAACCGTATTATGAACTTTTCAGCTAAATTTAAACAATAAGAACATTATGAAAAAAAAAATAATGAAACCTAAAATAAAGAGTAGCATTTAAAAATATCAAGCCATTGTTTTGACATCGAGAAATACTCTTGTCTTGAAAACACAGTTTCAATCTTTCAGTTATTTATTCAGTAATTTTCCGTGTGTTGTTATTGCAGATGAATTGCAATGCTAGAGAAAGTAACTGTGGGGGTTTGATTACAATGGCTCTAAATCAGTCAGTATGTGTTTCTGTTAGTGCGCACTGTTGTCTAGTGGACACGTGTTTGGACTCTTTAACACTTGAGGCATATTCTGCTTTCATGTTTGTCTCGGCGAAGACATCATTGTGATGAGCAGTGTTGCCAACTTCGTAATTTTGTTGCTAAATTTAGCAACTTTTCAGATTACTCTGGCAACTTTTTCTTCCAAAAGCACCTAACAACAAATTTAGCTATTTTTAAAATTTATTTGCCAACTTTTAGCAACTTTTGATAAGTGACTCGAACGATAAAAAGGTACAATTTACCATTTAAATTACACAAAAAGAGGAAACCAAAGATGCCTAGCAGTACACACATCACAGGAATTAAGCTGCTATTTGCAACTGGTTAATTTATTGTAATAATAATAATAATTGAATGCTGTTATTGTTCATTTATGAGACACTTTGTTAGTAGCTTGTACCTGCGATTGTTGACGAGTTAGTAGCCTACACTGTAAGAAAAATATGTAGAAAAATGGAAAAGGTGCTAGTAATTTTCCAGGACATTATCAGTTGTAATCCTGTAACCCGAAAACACAAAATACAATGCGTAATTAAAAATGCAGGTAAAAAAAAAAAAACCTTTGGAAAAATAAAATCAATATTCCTTCATCTTAACATAGTAGATTGTGTACTATTTTTTTACAGACTTTTCTTAGAGTGAAGCATACTAACTAACTACTAATACACTGCTTTAAAGTATAATTGTTCAGAATGTGTAGATTTACTTGTTTACTAGCTAATAATAATAATTTAAAAAATTAATTGTAATCGTTCAAAAATGTGTAAGTTTTCGATAATTCATTGTATTTAATAGTTATTTATATTTTAATATTATATTATGCATTTATATTGTTACGAACAAATCTAAATGAACATATATAAAATATATGTTTTTGCTGAGATTTGACACAATTTCGATGACAATGACACAACATCATTTAGCAACTTTTAGCAACAAAAGATGCCTAGCAGTACACACATCACAGGAATTAAGCTGCTATTTGCAACTGGTTAATTTATTGTAATAATAATAATAATTGAATGCTGTTATTGTTCATTTATGAGACACTTTGTTAGTAGCTTGTACCTGCGATTGTTGACGAGTTAGTAGCCTACACTGTAAGAAAAATATGTAGAAAAATGGAAAAGGTGCTAGTAATTTTCCAGGACATTATCAGTTGTAATCCTGTAACCCGAAAACACAAAATACAATGCGTAATTAAAAATGCAGGTAAAAAAAAAAAAACCTTTGGAAAAATAAAATCAATATTCCTTCATCTTAACATAGTAGATTGTGTACTATTTTTTTACAGACTTTTCTTAGAGTGAAGCATACTAACTAACTACTAATACACTGCTTTAAAGTATAATTGTTCAGAATGTGTAGATTTACTTGTTTACTAGCTAATAATAATAATTTAAAAAATTAATTGTAATCGTTCAAAAATGTGTAAGTTTTCGATAATTCATTGTATTTAATAGTTATTTATATTTTAATATTATATTATGCATTTATATTGTTACGAACAAATCTAAATGAACATATATAAAATATATGTTTTTGCTGAGATTTGACACAATTTCGATGACAATGACACAACATCATTTAGCAACTTTTAGCAACAAATCAACCTTCCTTTAGCAACTTCCCCTGAAAATTATTTGGCAACAATGGTGGAGTCACAGAGTGGTTATGGGGAATGTTTCTTCCCGTATTAAGCCAGATGGGTTTAGGAGTGAGACCGGTGTCTGGGTATTTTTAAGTGGGCGGTCCCTCTGAATGCTGCTTCGCTAGCCTACCGTGGGACTGACACGGATTGGGGCCATCTGAGGGTGGTTATATTACAGCCGTTGCTATGGCAGGATAGGCCTGATGGAATATAGCTATCTGAGGCTAGCTGTGTCATACTGGCAGTTGCAGTGAGCCCTCTCCTGGAGTGATCCCTTTTCCTAGAGCCTAGCTATATGTGAGGATAGCTATGTGCTAGTTCAGTGACTGCTCCACTGCTTAGGGTTTTAAGTAGCGGTCTCCTTGAGCCCTTGCCTAGACAGTGCTATCTCCCCTGCTAGGGTTGTAAGTAGATAGCCCACTCTCTGTGGTCTGGGCAGCTTTGCAGGAAGGTTTTGCCTGGCTATCTAGGCTAGCTGTGTATAGTTATACTGGTCTACAAGCCTTCATAAGACCTTTAGGACATAGCTATCTGAGGATAGCTGTGTTCTAGCTCAGCAGCTATTCTCCTTACCGGGATTTAAGTAGCTATCTTTGAGCTCCTCTAGAGGATTTCTAGTTAGTCTTTCAGTGGTCTTGTGTATCCAGGCTCATGTGGCTCACATAGCATAGCTATCTGAGGATAGTTGTGCTCTTAACATGAGTGGGATGTTCCCCTTGATCTAATCGGGTTCTCCATTTCTGCCAAGTTGTGTGAGTGGCCCGTGGCATGTCCCCTTTCTGAGGAAAGGCTTTGTGTATGTCTGTCGCTTCCTTGGTGCTCTCCCGCCAGGTGGCAGAGTATGTGAGCGGAGCAGAGCGAGGAGTGGAGCGGAGTGATTTTGCCTGAAGCTTGGAGCTGATTATTTTTAAGTCGGAGCGTTGAGGTTTTCACTGGCTCCGAGAATGCTCCGCTACCGCTCAGTCACGAGCACAAATTATGCCAACGCACGCATTAAACATAATTAGTTAGCTTGACAGATATATGTGGATCACATATGAAGGTTAAAATGGCGATGGACGAGTGTGGGAGGTTAAATCATGTTGTAAATTGTACAGTTTGTTAATCTCCGCTCGAAACTAATGTGCTGCTACATTGCTGCACACGGACAGAACACACAAGCTTGCACATAACGTACAGATCGCGCGCACACATTCAGGAATGAAGAAAATTTGGTCAACGCTGTCCTGTGATTTATCAGCTTAAAAACTGAAAAGTTACAGCATATTCTTTGTTTCTGAAGTAACTACCCTCAGCTTCTCCATAGTAGAGAGACGTTGCACAGACACGTAAGCTAAGCGAATTAAGCAGTCATTTAATATGGACTTGGGCTAATTGTAGTGTTCCAATAAACCATGTTAAAACTATTCTTCTAGTATTATGCATTTCTTTTTCGTTTAATAGCATTTCTGAACAGAACTTAGATTTTTCAAGCATAGTGAAATAATTTAATAATTTAATAAAATAATTTCTGATCAGTGGAGCAAGGAGTGGAGCGGGAGCGGGAAATTATGAACTCGGAGCTGAGCTGGAGCGGAGTGATTATTGAATGCTTGGAGCGCGGAGGGGAAATTGTTGCCACTCCACTCCGCTCACATACACTGCTCGGCACGGCATGGTTGGATTTCGTTCCCCAATGTGCCCCCTAGAAGGCGCAGTGTGAAGTTCCCTAGAAGGGGAACGTCTTGGGTTACACATGTAACCATGGTTCCCCGAGAGGGAACGAGACACTGTGACCCCTCGCCATGCCTTCTGCCTGCCTGTTTACGTCTCCTTCAGACAGCTAAGTGGATGACGTATTCAACAGGTGCCCTTTTATACTTCCGGGCAGCCGACCTATGACATCATGGGCCAGGTGGACCAATAGATTGGCATTGTTTCACACGTGCTTCAGACACCGGTCATGCAGGCTGCATTCCGTCTCTTTCCCTCTCTGGGAACCATGGTTACATGCTTAACCCCAGACGTTTCTATTCAGACATGTCTTACAGACATTTCGTTCTTTTCGCTGATATTCCATCATGTGTCTTTAGTTAACGATGCTGAACCTCACCAAATTCAACTGAGTGAGTTAATTTTGAATTAATCAAACACTTCTTGGCATTTAAATTGCATCAAAAGGATTTATATTTTGTATAGAGAAACACTGACTGTGTAATTGAGGATTGTTATAAATGAACTGAAGTGTCTCAGTGTTTTTAACAGGAGGATGGTTTGTTTGTTGTGTAGGTGCTGTCAGAAGAGCAGCTCACAAACATCTCACCAGAATGCCATAGTGCAGCGTTTACTACAGACGAATAGAGTCTTTCCACAAATATAAGGTGATAAATAATAATGAAGCCAATTTAGTGGCTAACCATTTTAAATATTTTATGTTTTAGTTTTTTCACCACCCCAAACACACACACCATAAATTACAGGATGTTTTTTGTGTGTCTCTTTCGCTTTAATGCCAGCATTAAAAAAAAAAAAATTCAGTTGTATTTATTTATTTACTTTATTTATTTATGAATTCTGATAAACTTAATTTCCTATAAATAACAGTACGTTTAATAGTATTGGATTTGTTTCCCTTTTGTTTTAAGAAAAACGTTTTCCCCTAAAAATCTATTTTTATTTTCAGAATCCTGAAAGCCATATAAGCCTATATCATTTATATTATGATTATTATTTTCTTTTTCCTAAAAATTGTTTCGTGTCTCTCTTTTGCTTTAGTTTATTCTTTTTTATTAATTTTACGAATTCTGAAAAACTTGAGTATAATTTCCATAAAGAAAGCTCCAGATTTGCAGCCCAGGACTCCATTGCAGAAACTGCATACCTTTTATAATTTTCAAGTAGCTAAATGTTGATAATTTATCAAACGCAGTCAAACTCTCTCCAATGATCATGGAGGTTTGCCTGCATTGCTTTAACAAAACTAACGAGACAGCAGTTTGTCCGGCGAGGAAAGAGTTAAGCGCGAGTCTCCCTGACTGTGCATGCGCGCATGAACTCCCACAGTTTGATAAATGTCCCTCCGCGGCTCTTCGGTCCGTTTTCCAGTCTCTCGCCATTGTCGTAAACTTTAACTAAAATGAAAAGAATGTTTTTTTTTTAATTATTTTAGCATTGCCAGTTTGACTTGATGTACTAAAGCTGAAACAAGAAATAAAAATATATAAATAATAAATGAAAATGACAAAAACACAAAAATTACTTTAATTAAAATAAAGACAGAAAATATAAAAATTCAAAATATTAATAAAAAATTATAAAAGAATCCAATTTTAGTAGTATTTATATACTATTAAAGCTTTTATTTATATTTTGAATGAGCTTTTATTTTTAATTCCCAGTTTTAATTTTAGTTCAACTTTTGGCAATTTCATTATGTGCTTTTGCCATTTTTATTAGTTTTTTATATTACTATTAAGGTTTAATTTTTTTTTTCAGTTTTAGTTTTTACTTATTTAATTCAAGTTAATTTTTTTCATCTCATATTTATATTTTATCTTATTTTGTAATTTATTTGACTTGATTTCCACTTTATTTCAATTAACAAAAAAATAGTAAATAGTAACACTTTTAGTTTTAGTGATAACAGCCCTGGATCAAAGTCGCTGGGGTATATAAAAATACAAAAATACATTGTATGGGTCAAAATTATCGATTTTTCTTTTATGCCAAAAATCATTAGGATATTAAGTAAACATGATGTTCCATGAAGATATTTTGTACATTTCCTACCTTAAATGTATCAAAACTTAATTTGTGATTAGTAATATGCATTGCTAAGAACTTCATTTGGACAACTTCAAAGATGATTTTCTCAATATTTTTATTTTTTTGCACCCTCAGATTCCAGATTTTCTAATAGTTGTATATCAGTCAAATATTGTCCTACCCTAACAAATCTCAATTTCAATAAATTGACCCTTATGACTGGTTTTGTGGTCCAGGGTCACATATTATTGCTTATTATTGAATTATTATTCCTGTATTCTTGCATACAGCAATTATTACGGGTAGTTGCAAATGCACCATTTCCAATTTTCATTTAGTTTACGTTTTTGTTCTCATATTTATATTTTATTTTAATTCAGCTTTATTTCAATTAACAAAAAATAAACAATTTCAGTTTAGACAATAATTTTTACCCTGGTTGAGATTAATTTGTGCTTGTTGTATTTAGTGTTGATTAATAGAAATATTATAGTAATGCATTTCTGATTCCTAATTCTCATTCAAGTTTTTCTACTCCTGTTTTATTTTATTTTAGCTCAATTTCAATGAGCAAGTTCTAACTAATGTGTGCTGCTCATATTCGTTGTGTGTGGTTTGCTAGAGTTATTATTGCTGTGTTTTCAGGGCTTGAGTCCAGGCTGCCACGACACATACGCCGCCAACATCGACTGCCAGTGGATCGACATCACAGACGTCCCTCCTGGAAACTACATCCTCAAGGTGTGAGAAATAAAGCTGATGGAGAGACATTTTCCAAGCGGATCCTGTTGTTGATGTGCATTTCACTTCCCGTCCAGGTCACAGTCAATCCAGACTTCCTGGTGCCCGAGTCTGACTTCTCCAACAACGTTGTGCGATGTGAGGTCGTTTACACCGGCGTTTACATCCAAACCAGAAACTGCATCTTAACTGGGTGAGGGAATGCATTTTTACTACAGTTTTTTTTTCAACTGCTTACACACATTTTCATAACTTTGCCTCTTTTCTTTACACATAAATCCAAGAATTGCACACACAAAATGCAAAATGCCTCACATCTCTTGCAAAATAAAGCAAATATCACAAACACATCTCAACAGCAAACACCTTTGCCATAATATTAATTCCTGTATTTGTGTGTGTTGCATAGAGAATTGTGTGTTGTGTTTTGCAAAATGTGTTTTATG